ATATAACATGCTACAGCACAGTTTATAGCTGCATTACTATTCATTCGTTTGCCTAAGTAGGTGACCCAATCTTGAAGATAAGAAGATAGTAAACAATTGAAATTTGATCTGCTATATATTCAATATCATAATTGTGACCCGACGATGAATGTAAGATAGACAGATTTCCGACATTAACATCTACTGAAAAATTTTACTGTCCTTGTGGCTGTGTGCCTTGTCTACGGCTATTTTAGATTTCGTCAAAAAACACACATTGATTTAATCATTGAGAGGATGTAAAAACATTATTTTCACTTGACTCACATGCATTGAACAGATTACCGATGCATGACTGTGTCACAGCTAACAACCGTTGTCGTCATTGTATGTTTTGGATAATAGATACCATCATGTGTATGTACTGTTACTTTGATTCAAGGTTTCCGCTACAAAGTACAACACTCCTAAACCACCAGATGACACTAACATTCATTCAAAAGTGCTGCTGGTATGCTTTATACTGTACCCAAATATCTTTCCTACCAAAGGATTATTGACGTTGAAAAAATAATTAGTGAAACATCTTGTACATTTTCGTGCTTGTGCTTGCACGAGTGTTGTTTTCAGTATAGTCATATATTTCATACAATGCTTAATCTCTCTTTTAACTACGATTTTTATGAAAACTATACACAGTTCTACATCTACATGACATGGATTCTGAATCAGATTTCTATCATAAATGTATTTAATAACCATACTATCTCCTAAACAGCAGCAGCAACAACAACAACAACAACAACAACATTATTAACTTACCTGATTCATAGATGAAGCAAAGAGAGCGGGAGAAGTCTGTCTTCGTATTTTTATAAACTTGGACTAAACATTTTAATAATCAGATCTAAAACTCGGCCAAACAGAAACAAATTTGCCTTAGAACGGTTATCTTGCCGACCCAGAAAGACGAAAGAATTAGTGACGTCCACGTCAGATTATTATTTTGTTTTATCGGGAAGGGTGTCTTAAATGTACTAGTCTGTAATTATTGGTTTTGTTCAAAATACCGCTTTGTTTCAATCACTATGTTAACGTTAACTTGAGTTGATGTCTTAAATTACTATAGTGTTGCAGATAACAACAATTATCCTGAATTGATGTTTAGGATAAGTAATGTAACTCTTTCTAAAGCCACTCAAAGACACCAACGTCGCGCTCGTATTAGGCTGCAACAAAAGGAAGATTTATTACAATAAGTCTTCTTTGCCGTTCTTTGTATACTGAGCACATAATTTCCATGCTTAAGAAACATCACATTATAATATCAATACTGGAAGTAACATTTGCTGAAGTAGCAGTACATACAGAATACGTTAACATGATCGTGATATATTAAGTGAGATTGAATTATTCAAAAGTTACATCTATGTACACTGCAGATTTAAAGTGAAATATTAATAATATATCGGACAACATACATACACAAGTGTTGCCGAATTATTTATTTGAACAGGATACATAATACAGTTGTTATAATGAAATTTCGCTGAAATAGAAAATATGTAATCAGTCACTATATTCTGATTTATTTTTTGTTTAGAAATGATGTTTTCATCCATGTTATTTCACCAATACATGTCAGTAAAGAACTATCTCCAATGCCCATCGCTGAACAAATGTAAATGCGCATGCGTGGACATATTTTGTATGTGTATTATTACCCAATAGAAACGCTCGCAAATGGTAGGATTAGAGAAAATGCACACATCAGCGTTACAATATGCTTATAATCAAGACAATTTATCCAGAATGACCAGTTCGACGACTGACAGCTATTAGCAAGTTTCTACATAAAGGTGTTCTGTCGAAGAAACGAAGATGTTACGCTTAATAGCAATCCTTGCAATTATCAGTGTTACGTTAGCAGCGCCTGAAAAGGTTGGTTTCGTTACTTATTAAGCTCTATGGTGAAGCCATGCTCTTGTTTATTTTCATTCCCATTTGTGTTGACTTTCCTATTGATAACGTTTTCCTACCATTAATGTCATGGTGTGCGTTAATGCCTTACATAAAAGTATATTTTGATTGTTTCCACATGACGTTCAAACCAATCGATTTTTATCTGCCAACTTTTGTGGCACGTCACCATTATCAAAGTTTTAGAAAATGAATCATAGTCGCAAGAAATCATCTAACTGATGTATGATAATTAGCATTTGTTTCCTTCCATGTTATTTACATTTTCTTAGTAGTACCAACAATTTTACCAAATGAGGAATACATTTTTGAAAATGAAAATGAAAATCATGATTTTGAAACATAGATATAGAAGCGACTGAATGAATAATCTGTTTCAGTGATGATAGATAGTCCATCAAAGATACCTAATTGCTCAATTGTCTGTATGTCCACAGAGATCCTTCAAGAGACAAACCCCTCCAAGGTATGTAATTAGAAAAGGAGGAAACTGGTTTGAAGCTAAAAAATATTGTGAAAGTATAGGACGTTTCCTTGCAGAGCCCCTCGCTATTATCGATAACTGGGATATAATGAACTTATATGATTCAGGTAAATATAAATACAAAACATTGTCCTGGCTTGTGGCAACGTTAACGACTGTATATATGTTGCTACTTTCCTCTTTATTTCATTGGAGTACCTATGTACAGTCAGTCGAAATAATATTGTCCCAAAACAATTGGGAGAAAGTTACATTGTTCTTAAGTTTACATTCTTCCTTAACTATGAAAAAAGTTGGATGAGGATAGGATTCGCACCCACACCGGTTGGGTAGCGTTTCTCACCAAAAAGCGCATTAGATCATTTAAACGGAATAATTTTGTTCATTGCACTATCTATATTCGTACAATAGACTCTTCGTATGTATGCAAATTTACTCTATTTTAACAATTTATATGTTTGCTGAAACGTTTGCAGTTTTGTTGTCGTAGTTTATGTCAGAAATTTAAACTTTAATCGCTGGTGTATAGTGACCTTCTCCTATTTATAAGTATATTTTGTGTTTTATTGTAAGAAAGACAGTTACTAAATTGAAAATGGCCTTATTATTATATAAGAAATTATTGGTTGGGTATTACTGGTATGAATGAAGAAAATAAATACACATACGCAAGAGATGGGTCTTCCATCTTGTACGGCAATTGGGCTGCCGGGCAACCCGATAATTTGAATCATCAGGACTGTGTTGCTATGGGGTAGGTGTATATTTGTATGTCAGTGAACGGCATTCATTTGCGTGTTCGGAATTATTCGATTGAGACACGTTTACTAATTCAGGTTTCTATTATCACGTTGAAACAATTCTTCTCTCTTTGTTTTATAATTCATCTGCATCTGATATGAATAAATATTAGGTGTTTTATACTGTTACTCAATTATTCATAATCATTATGCTGGCGATGTTTATTGTCATCGGTGATTATATTATGAATTTTCCATGGCAAGGCTTTACTCTTTAAATTGCACAGGCGCATGTGTGCCAGTTCCGAATTCTGTAAGACCTCACAGAGCTTAATTATTTGTAATAAAATTCACGTAAATTTTCAGAGCCGCAGATGGGACTTGGTTTGATCTAGACTGCAAAGCCGATAAAGCGGCTGCAGTGTGCGAGCTCGGTGAGTATATTGTTACTAGTAATGTATGAAATCAGTGTTTCAACTTTCTGATACCCATATATATATATTAAAATAAGTCAAATTATTCAAAGCATATGGGAAAGTTCAGTTTGCATTATTAGTTACTTATTCATTCGTTCACTCACGCACTCTCGCCCACTTACGTTACCAACACAACACAGGTGTGTGTTTACACGCAATTCACCATATATAGAGATGATTTCTTTTTGAATAGTTCAAAATACCCAATGCGAGAAATCATTACTTAAAGTTTTACTATTACTAGCGGAATATATATCATACAATCACTGAATGGTCAGGTTGCCATGCCATGTATTAACATCAGAGGAGACTATTTACATAACGGATAAACAGTGGAAGATCGTATCATCTTTGATGTTCAATTTGAGCGTTATTAAATTCAAATCCTTGAAATGACATTTCTTGGCAGTGTATACCATATAGTAGCTTGTTAATTGCTGTGTATTTCCTATAGTAATGAAGTAAAACAATGTCATGATAAACTTAAGCAATAGAGCATAGATGCCACATACATATTCGCCATGCATGTTCACTTCATATATTTATTTCAATGTCAGATCAATAATGGAGTTGTGTGATAATGTCAATGTGAAATATCTGTGTTCTATATTTCTATACGATGTGATCAATCCCAACAATCCTGGTTGGTTCATTCAAGCAGATTAAAATTTAGATATTCTCCTATATCCCGAGTTGTTGGTGTGTTTACACAATATTTATTACTTCTCCAACTAGCGAAACCAATTTGATCCATGTCTTGTGGATATCTTTCACGGATTGTGAAATGGCCACGTTTTGGATTGATTCTAATATCGCAAATGTATGTTACCTAAGAACGTAGATATAGTGATGGCTCCAATGATAACTATATTTCTTAATTGTATTGGATAAACTAAAGATAATCTGTATTCATAGCTTTCAACAAACGTATAGATAGTACCTCATAATATCACATTTGTTCCGAAAGATGACTAAATCTGGTAGTGTAGGGTGACTCGTGAGATATTATATGTATATATATTATAAATATGCATTGTCTTCTTCAGGTGCCACTGTTCGCCATGATCCTCATATTACAACATTCGATCGACATGGGAATCGGAATGGCAGAATGGGCATCAACAGTGGATTTTTCGTTTTCGACTATTGCTCTGTTCTGTAATTAGATCAAGTGGATATGCTAGGTTCCATAAAAAAATATATTTTTGTTAATATTCGAAAGGTTTTTCAATCACTATTTGTGTGTCATGTTAAAAAATAAAAGCGACGCGAAAGCGAATACCTCTCAAGCATATTGTTTGTTTCACAGGGACGTACTGGTGGAATGTTGACTGCAGCAAAGCCATATACATATTGAGGAAAAGGATAAGATGGTTATACTGCACTTCACTTCGAAAAACACCACATTTACACTGGAATGGACGCTGGGGAAGCATCAACTAGACGTATCTGCAACTGGTTCCGATTACAACGGTAAACTTTGCGGTCTGATGGGTAATTCTGACGGTAATCCTGGCAATGACTTCCAAAAACCTGATGGCAGTTATGTTAAGGACGTAATTGAGTTTGGTGAAAGCTGGAAAGTGAACGATAAAGTGTAAGTTGTAATTCTGTAAAACTGCAGACTTGTTTTATACACACAACTTTATGATAAATAACTAAATAACGACATATTTATGTATAATTTGTCGAAACTTTGTAATATCTAATGTATTTCCATATGTTCATATTACAGATGTAACTAAGGGTACCGTCATTTCAGAAAACGGACCTGGAAACAACGTACTCGATTTAGGATGGCTTTCGCTGAACACATTAATGGTAGTGCATCCGAATGTGTAAATTAGTTGGTGATTGGTTACATAATACTTAGCTTCATGAACGTTCTGCGTTGGTCACACCAGATCGATTCTTTACAAATATAATTCTGAGATAAATTGTCATCAAAAGTGGTTCATTGGTTTTAACTTGGTGATGGGTATTTGATGTTTTATTCAATAAAAATGTGGCAATACAGGGATATGTATATTTGAGAACATTGAATATATAAACACAGTAATCGTAATGTGTGAGCGCGTATCCAAGACAACGAGCGTTCTTGCTCATTTGCATAAAGGATGGCCGTACATGCACACCATTTACCGTTAGTTTCATCTATTACAATTAATATAGTTATTTTGTAGTTATCACTATATCGACGGTTTCGGAATGCATTGGTAACATAATTACCATTTTTGGAGTAAATCCAATCCATGGTTGTTGCACATTCCGTAAAAAACGGCACTGCGCAAAAAAAATGTTGGGGCGTCGTTCCTCCAAAATCAGGCTGAAACCATTTATGTCAGCAAAATTTGCCCTCAAAATAGAGGAAATAGCGTTTCAGAGGGTCTAGATTACAACATGTTTAAGAGGAGCATGCCCCGATCTCCTAATAATATCGCGTCTTCGGGTACGAGGTTAGTGAGCAGATCTCGCCCTCCATGTAAAATGTCACGCCGCCATCTCTAGGGTGGTAGTGCACCGCAGCCATTTGGAAAATGGACACAAAAAGTTCGACGTTACTGGTGCTTTTGGCTGAAAACATTTTGTGTTTTTCGACGGGATGCTAAAATGGCCGGAAATCTTAAAACAAGGGTTCAAAATGTCGTTTCGACCGAGAAAATGTTGATAAAAACAGCGCCTACCCGCATGCTTAACCTGTATTTCTGCGCAGAAGATCATTTACCCAACGCTAGAAAGAAAAAGATGCCTCCCTGTATGTGGATTGTAATATTTGTATTACATGTCTCTCAGACTTTTTAAAACAATAACACTCATTTTGGGTTAGCAAAATAACAACGAACTGATCAAACATCTCCATTTTAAACAAGCAATCTTTGAGTTGAAATGGTCCGCATAAGTTGCAATAGTCAAGCCATGCTTCATTGTACCGCAAAATAGCTTGGATATCCCAAACCTAAACCATAGAACAAATTTATGAGGAAGTTTATGCATGTGATCTGAAAATATTTTTGACTGTGATGATTGAAGAGCAAATAAACTAAACTCATTTATTCAAAATTAAATAATATCAGCGCTACTGTTTGTAGAGTCTATTAGGCTTCCTACTATTCGCAATTTTCCATTGTTAAAATGTCTATTCATTTGTATGGCCTTCATGGTAACCAGCCTGATTTGGGGTATCCTCGGGGGCGGACATCCGGGCATTTTCACCGCCTGGCAACCCGCGGCGGTGAAAACAAAGGCCCAAAACTCGCAGAAAACGGTACTTTGGGGGTGATTGTTGAGACTCCTCTGAACAGTGCAACAAGATTAGCCCTACGTGTGTAATACATATAAATTTGATTGTTCGGGATTACTTCAAAGTTGAGTTTGTATTGTTTTCTCGAATTTTCATCGGCTCGACCGGCGTTCCACAGCAGCGCGCACAGAGCCCATAGAAATGCATGGTACAGTGGTGCGCGTCTTAGCAACGTGGAACGTATGTGACGTAGCTCCGCCCCCGAGGATATGTATTTAGCGCCCTCAAATCCTAGATGTGTTGGTCATTTGTTTTAATTCGGTTGCATTGCTGATCGGTTTATGTGTCGATGGTGGCGGCGCTGTTGTTGTGACTTCAAATTAATTCACGTAGCAGGTCGTCGCGCAGCACGTGTTCGAATTTACGTAATTAACAATGTTTTCTACACACGTCGTGTCCGTCACTTTGAGTACCATATAGTACGGCGCGACGACCGCCGCCCTTTAACTTCCAACAGTCCCTGCTGTACTAACATTGTAGTCGCTACTGAATCTAGTGATTTCCACTTCACCTGAATGATATGCCCCGGCGAGGTTGATGGAGCCGGCCGTATACACCCTCAATTGACAGATACAATGTTTGTGTACGTCAGTGGTTGAACATTGCGATCAAAATATGCGTTGAGATAATATTAATTGTAATCAACTGTCAAGAAGACGGGAGACAGAAATGGCGCAGTCGGCTTCATATATCTGAAAATATGGAACAATGACAGCATCAGGATTTGCGCCATCGCAATTGCCCGGTGTCCGACTTAAAACATGATCTGGTACACATGTCTGTGAAAGAAAACGAGTTAAAAGGGTGTTTTTTTAAGAGAAAAGCGTGGTTACTTTTTAAATGAGATTATCGTTTTTTTATATTGCTTTAAGGAATTCAATGATCGCAATAGCGAGGAAAACGTCCGGCCCCCTGGTTAACGACCCTCGATCACGGGCAATCACGTGCCTACACTGAGGGAAAAGAAAGCTCAAATATCGCGAGATCAGGCGCAGGGTTAAGGTGCGTGATCTCTTAGCTTTCTAACAGTGAAAAGGGTACGAAATGTTGACCTTTTAAAACGTGTTTAGGGTCATTTTGAAAATCCCTTTCACAGACATGGGTTACAGGTATTTCCACAAGTCGGACCCCCGGGATACATTGCGAAACCATTACATCAGCATATGTTATTTGGCTAAGAGTCATTTGTCATTGTTCCTCTATACAAAGAAATCATATTATAAGATATTCTGATATTATTATACATCTGTCACAGGGTTTTTTACGGGGTATTTTCATCCTACCATATAAGGAAATGCGAAGCGTCCTCTAATAATAAAAACAAACATGGCTGCCACATGGACTTGACCGGACTCCACACAGGGAAGTTTGCTGATTATGTTCTAAACATTTTGTATTTCGACATTCTCATGATGTATCCTTAGAAGGAAAAATTTCAACTTTCAACCATGGGGTTCGGTAGGACAACCACTTAGGTCAAGTTTCCAATCATATTTACAAACTTCTATTCGTTTTTTTTTACTTTGTGCGATATGCTCATCAGATAAGAGACATAATTGCCGACCACAATCAACCATATTTGATTTGAAATCATCACGGGCAAATTTTCAAATTTCTTTGAAGATTAAAGGCAATTTAATGAAAGGACAGAATTTGTGTTTATTGTATCCTTAACCAAGTTGAGGTTGAATTTCACTTTTGTTTGATTTGCCCATTCTATAATGCCTTGAGAATAAACTATATCCCAGAAAATTTTCTTATTTTCCCCACAATAGACAAATTTATTCATTTAATGAACACCACTAATGTGACTGTTGTTAGAAACCTTGCGAAATCTATTTTCTATGCAACTAAGAAACGTAATTCAACAAGTTAGATTTTTAGTATCATTGTAATGCAAGTTTCTGCTTATTTGTGTTCTGGGTTGATACCATGCAAATTGTAGCACAAGCAGTTATTAAGCGCTCTGTAATACATTCTTGACATACGTTACTTGTACTTATAGGCCGGTGGCCTCTGTACCTTGAATAAATAATATTAAAAAAAAATTTTAACAATACATTATAGAAATTGTCATCATTGTCCTAATTAAAATATGTGATTGAAATGTGTTTGACCAAATAAAAAAAAAAATTTTGCTTGGTGATTTTCTCAGGTGATCTGCCATGCACGCTCTTTGAAGATTAACATTTCAAACAGGCTGATAACCTGGCCACTCTGCTATAAATAACTACTGTATTTGCATTTTATTGGGGGCTAATTAATGTTCGAAAATGTTGCTATTTGATATTGATTGAACGTCACGTGTTTGTTTCGGATTTGACTTGCAATCTTTCATGCTTCGAAAACTAATTCGACTATTGGAGGACGCTTCACCATACTTTTCATCATTTTTGGAACTTTATTCCCGCTACAGGTTTCGAAAAGTCACCACATAGGTCACATTTCCAAACAAATCTAGCAACTTTGCAATCGCTTTACACAACTTTGTAGCTTTTCTAAATTATACATTGAGTGAGGATGGCTGTCCTTTCCCTTAATCTATCGCTTTCAATCGACATCTCTGTATTTTTTTTTTCAAAAATTTAACTGTGGCGTTTGATACAGCAACCACATAGATATAATTTTCAATTAAATCTACAAACTTTTCATTTGTTCGTCACAACTTTGCACGCTGCTTCGTAACAATATACATGTAGCTTGTAGGACAGTCTGGTAATACATATAGAACTTTCATTCGACTTTTGAATATATTTTTTCTAACATTTAACTGAGGGATTCGATACAACAACTGCTTAAGTCATGTTCGACATCATATTATGAGGTCTGCGGCTTCCCTTTTTCTTTTTTTTGTGTGTGAAAATACTGATGTAAAACTGCAAACAATGAAATATCCAGAGTGCAATTCTAGGTCACCAACATGTTTCACATGATTCTTCTCTCACTTGGGGGTGAAAATATACATTGTTCAGTGAAATATTTTAATTTCTTTGAACATCGTTCAGTAAATGTTGCTGTCATTTCGTTGTTAGTGGTCTCCGCGCACTCTGAACGTGATAAGATTAATAGTAGATGGTAACAGTATGGATAAAGGCACAATATCCAACTGTAGGTGGCGCTAGACTGCACCTGTAAACAGAGTACTGTAAAGGGGGTAATTATTCACTGGGTTTTAATTTAGCTTATTTCGCTGACTGGAAAATGCGCTAAATTAAAACCCAGTGAATATGTAAAATTTAGCATAGAACACATTATCTAAATGACAAAACCGTGAATTTAAAACCCACTGAATATGCCTGAAATAGTAAATCAGTGAAATTTAAACCCAGTGAAAATTAGTCATTTTACAGTATTTAAAGTACAATGCAATTTAGATCACAGCTAACATTCTAACATTATGTTCAAATTTTAAATATTTTTTGTGCTAAAAAATCATCAAAAATCAAGCATTTCTGGCATTCCGGAACCGGATCGTGGTCGTTTATGGATGGATTTCGTTCAAACGTGGTACATACGTTAGACATGATGGTTCCCTGATGCACATCATTTTCATTTTTCAGATTGGATTCAAAATGGCTGACTAGTGGCCATTTTGTTTCAATGAATGCGTTTCTAGAGCCATATTTCTGACATGCTTTGACTGATGTTCAACTTTTATATATTCATTATACATCTTAGATATACAAATGTATTGGTTTGACGATCAGATTCAAAATGAC